CCCCCCCGAAATTTGGAAAAAAGTGGAAAGAGAATTTCTCTCCTGGCCTGCTACATGTTGGTTAACAGCGTGTGCAAACCTGCTTAGCAAGCACAAAGGATTCAGGCCTAATCTCCTTCAGGTTGCACCCCCAGAGGCAGGAACACAGTGGGGGGGCCAGCCAGGAGAGGCCCCAGAGCACAGCTGTCCAGACAGCTGTGTCCAGGCAGCCATTACCGTTAGGCCAGAGGCCTCCAGCTGCTGGTGTTCCCGACATCCTGTGGGGAGGGGGTCTGAGCAGGGGCTCGCTGGGGTCATCAGGTCCCTGTGAGGTGTCTTGAGTGAGGATTCTGAACACTTATCTTTGACTCTGCTGTTATTACCAAACATCATCTCCTTTCCCCGTGAATCCTTCATTGTTTTCTGGCTGATTTTTCAATTTTCCTCCCTATCTGATGCAATTAAAGTAAATGCTGTGTGCAGGCACCCCTTAGCAATCCTCCAACACTGAGTTTTATGAGACTGAACACAGTTACAGAATTCCTCCCCAGGAAGACCTGGATGTGCTCTGTTTCAAAGCCAGTAAGTATCTTTTTATAAAAGTAAGCTGGTGATTCATTCTGGGTAACTGTCAAAGAATGAATCCCAAATGCATGCCGTTGAGTGTTGAGCCAATACTCTGTTACTGTCAGGCGCTTTGTTTTGCCAGGAGCGAGCACCCTTTCTCTATAATCACAAACACTGCGATGGGCCTCCGATAAGGAGCGCTGCCAAAAGTTCAAATGTCTTTTCAAGAGCTGGCAACGACCCACTGCGGGCGCTGTGCTCGGGCAGCGAGAGCGCAGACGCAGCTCATACCGAGGAGATTTTACTCTGAAATTATCTCCTGAGAGCAAGTGTAAAAGCATTTTATTAGGGATGAGTTGTGCGTGTGAGCACGGATGTGTGTGAGTGTATTTCCAACTTTCACAGCTGCCCTAGGGCGGGGCGGGGCATTTCCCCCCATGTGACACTTCAACGCCATTATAAAGACAGAAAACTAGTTTTTTTTACTTAACAGGTGTTGGGGGGGCGGGGCAAGTGTTCATTTTGTATTTTGCACAAATCAGTGGCTACCTAGTCAAGGACAGAAATGCCTTTTTGAAAAGGGCCACAGAATCCAAAGTGTTAAGAATATAATGCTGTTTGTTCCGTCTGAAGAGCTCCAAATGCTTTCCTAAAAGTGACTCATTAATCCTCCTGTATCCTGTGAGGCAGGGAGCATCCTCTGGGCTCCTACTTTAGGAATGAAAACCAAATTAAATCAAAGAAAGATTAATGTCACTGGATGGGTCTGAGGCAGGAATGTTCCTCCAGCCCAGAGCAGAACTGGTCCACATGGCAATTTCAAATTAAATTCCTCCCAGTTCTGCGGTGCCCCAGGATTCGATGTGACATCAAGGCCATGCACGTTCCGTGAGGGCTGGCCCACGTCGGAACGCTGCAGAGATGGCTGTACACTTCCCCTCGGAACTGGGAGAAATGAGCCCATGTCAATGATTTAAAGCAACGTGAAATAAACAGAAGCCATGTATCCAACCATTTGCAAGTGAAGGTGAGATTTTTTTTGTGCTAAAACACTATATGGCATAAGTTGAAGATAATTCCGTAAAAATGGATTTTCTAGAAATATNCAAGTGAAGGTGAGATTTTTTTTGTGCTAAAACACTATCTTTATGGCATAAGTTGAAGATAATTCCGTAAAAATGGATTTTCTAGAAATATAAGGTTGAACTTATATTTAATCTTATGAAACTGCCATTTTTATAGGTAAATATGGTCAAATATTGACAATTTCATACGGTTTAGCCTAAAAGGAAAGCTGAAGTTTCAGCCTAAAATGTTATGGCAAATTATGAATAAAAATATTTATATTTAGTCTGTAATATGGTCTGAAATATTATACTTTTCCCTTAAGTAAAAAAACCTGAAAACAATAATTGATATAAATCACCATGTGAGACCTTGCTGGTATCTCTCATCCTAAAACAGCATTATGTGAAAATAATTCTATTCAACTAGCGTTGTCCCCGAAGCCACATGTCAATACCAGTCGCCCTACCTTCCTTCTTAGCTATTCTCACTGACACACCAAGGCTGGAGGCAGATGAAAAAGGAATCTTTTTCTCTCAGGGCCAGAGGATGACCTTGCTCAGTCCTTCAGTGGCAGGGGGGTCGGGCTCATCAGAACATTCTCGACAGACACATCAAATCACACGCACAGTCCCCGACGGCCTGGGCAGGACTCCAAAGGATTCTCGAAAAGAGTGAGAATGCTTCCTTCTTGTGTGCTTGGCATTAGCCCTGGGCAGCCAGCAAGCTCCCTGTGAGGACTGTTA